TAAATGCAGGTGTGTGGGGCGATCCTAGTGAGGAATAATTTTTTCTTATTTTAGCCCACACTAAAAGAAAAAAAAAAATTAAAGGTTAAAGAGGCTAGATGTAGAGGAGGGTTGCCCTAGTGAGCCTCATTTGTCTAATAGGCCAGCCAGGAATAGTAGGATTTCTAATACTCCTAAATATTTAGTTAAGCAGGTGGATAAATTGAGGGAGCAGTTAAAAAGTGTGACTGAATGTTGCAAGGAGAGAGAGAGAGAGAGAGAGAGAGAGAGAGAGAGAGAGATGAAGATTATTACTTTTGTGTGTTGCTTATTTTTCTTTTATTTATTTTTTAGTCCTTTTTCTTTAGGAGATCTCCGTGGTGTTGCGACATTGATGAGATGTTGTGATAATGATATTGTGTAGTGGCTATGAGAGCCATTATTGTTGACTGATGAGAACGTATCCTGTGGATCTTGGATGAAGATGGATTAGAAGTACTTCATGCATTGGTTATCTTGTGCTTATTATATAGTCATTTTGTAGTGTTTGTGAGCTTATTATCATTCAAATGAAAAGGCATGTTTATTTTATATTCAGATTTTACTTGTTCTTGTGCAATTTATTATTATTGTTTCAATTACATTTAATTCAAAATTCTTACACATGCTTAATTGTTGAGTATTATTCTCTATATAGTGCTTACATTTTGATTACTTAATTAGCTAGAATAAAAAATGATAAAAATGACAATTAAAAACTAGGTAAAATTAAGATAATAATAAAATCCTAGATGATAGTTTGAATGAACAATGCATAATAATCCATAATTTGAAAATCTTAATAATTAATTAATATAGATCACTTAAGCAATTGATTTATTTTGATTTTAGAAACTAGATACTAATGCAATGACTACTACATTGAAGAATGCATAATTAAGTTTATGAATAAAAAGTGGGGAGCATAAATTAGGAATATCATAATAAACTTAAATATAGAAGCAGTGATGTTACTAAATCTTGACATAAAATTAATGATGGTTGTGGGAGAATGAAAGTAAAAAATGATATTTAAAATTATTAAATATATACTTGATAAGTATGAAAAAGTAAAAATATAAAAAATCAAAGAAAAAAATTGATAAAGGAAAAAGATGAGTACATTAAACATTAGTATTAGTAGAATCTTAAGTCAATAGGCATATTAATACTTTAAATTAAATGGGATAAGGTGAGTGTAGTAATACATATGATAGTGCACTAAAGAACTTCCAATTTAACTATAAATACAACTACTCCCTAAGAAATATATTATTCATTTCTGAAACTAGAAGTCACTTTTACACATACACTCATAGTGGATAGGTTTAATGTAAGCAATATCAAGGGTGACAGATTTAGATAATTATTATGAACTTTCAAATTAGAAGTATAATTTTGATTATTCTAAATTACTTCTAGACATTTATATATTATTTTACATTTTAGAAAATTTAAATTATCAAATTTTACTTTGGCTACTAAACTAATTAAATGGTGATTTCACCATTGCTTGAGGACAAGCAAGAATTTAAGTAGGGAAAATTTTTTATGTATAAATTATGTACTATCTATTATTTTAAAATTCAATAAAAATGTGTTATTTTAGTTTTTTTTATGAAGGAAATGTCAAGAGAAGGAAAATATTCATAAGTATTGAATGAGCACTGTAATGCACACATATTCTATGCCATAGCCTTGTCATCTACAATGCATCAGTGCCTTATTCAGACATTGCAACACCTATCACTTGAGCACTTAAGGTAAAATCAGCACCCTAGAAGATTGAAGGTTAGCACCGCAACGATCTGCAGCATTGCAGGATCATAAATCCATGCAACAACACTTGAGTCTCAAGTATTTGAACTCTAGAGCACCGGTCATCACAAAGCCACAACACCGGGTCGCACTTTTAAGTGACACAAGGCTTAACTTTTATAGTGTCTTAGTAGGGAAGTTATAAAAATGGGGATCAATACTGACTCAGCTATAAGGAACATCGATTCAACTATTAACCGAGCCAGGTCAACTTAGCACTACAATGGAGTTTGCCTAACAACATTGGAGTTAGTTAATTTTATAATGCTACAATGCCCACATTGGAGTGCTGCGGTGCCTGAGGTCATTTATTCACTTTTTATAAAAGTTATTTTCAATTCTTTTGTTTCAGAGGGAGTGTGTGCTATCAGAGTTCTATCATCTTTAGTTGAGTATTATACTTTAAAGTGACTTTCTTTAGTTCTACATTAGAATAAAATCTAAGGGATGCTAGAGTTGGGCAAGATACCTTCAATTGGAGATCTTAGCCTGTGTTGTGTAAGCAATCCTATTGTTCGAGGAAGAATGATTGTGGATAATATCAATTGATTCTTTCTTGTGACATTTATTCTTATTAATTATTCCGTATCTTTTTATATGAATAAATTAAATATGTGTTTACTTTTTTATGATATATGTAGCTGACAAAAATTTTGAGTTTTAGGCTAATGATGTAAACACATAGCAAGAATTAATTCAGACTCTTATGCCTTAAATTAGTTTACAGCTGTTTTCAATATCTTCCATTCTTAAATTAATACGTGTAGTGACCATGTATGTAGCTAATATCTAGTGTGTGATATTACCTCAATGGAAAAATATTGGAATAAATAAGAGTACTAAAATAAAATATTGGCATACCTAGACATAGGATGTTAAAATTTTCTAGGTTTTATGAATAATTATAATTAGAGGAAGGCCATAAACCTTCCATTTCACTCCAACAAGCTCAATAGAGATCTAAGGATATATATTCTTTGATCCACATCTAAAAATTAAAAGTCATAGAAAAAAATATTTTGTTTATATTGATATCTTTTTATCTTGCTAGTCCTCATTAAGTGACAAAACTTAAAAAGAATCAATTTTATCCAGTAGGATATCTTGTGCAACTATATTGGACAGTAGTAGTTTAATTATAATAAAGCAGAACACTTCCTTGTGAGAACAGCAGTCTTCCCTATAACTTTACTACATGATCGGCATGTATACTTGCATATATAGGGGACTTCCATTATTTTTATATCAAAGAAAATTTAAGCATAATAAAAATTGCTTGCTAGCTCTATTTGAAGTAACCATTAGCTTGCCCCCGCATCACCTGACTATGGTCCTTCTAACCTCAGTCTCCTAACTATTGTCCTTCTAACCTTATTCGCCAAACTACGATCCTTATGACCTCAATAACATATCAAATATGGTCCTCATTGGCCTTCGTTGCCCGACTACATTCCTATCGACCAAATGAACAGGCTAATGTTCTCTTGAGAACCGTTCTTATGTTATATGGATTGTTCCAACTCAAACAATGAAATATGTTCTATACAGTATATATTTACTACATTGAGCCATCACCTTACACCAAGGAAGGATATCATTTATAATCAATGACAAACACTAGTGAAATCATTTAACTGTGCTAGGTCCCATGGTTTCTCCCTTTTTAAAGTTTTCATATAAAAATTCTAGTGTCTTATTGTTGCTGCACCCTTCTCTCTCATTTGTGTTTGTGATATATTTTCATCTAAAGCTTGGATACTAAACTCTATACCTATCTACCACAACAATTATTTTGACATGGAATAATAATACATACTCTCTTATTTTGATAGAGTTTACTTTATTATCAATACAATCAAATAATTCTTTCTCAATATAAGTGATTAAGAATGTTTAACTTTGTCCCCAATTTTAATCATTCCATTAGGTACAGAGAGATTTCAAGAATTTAATGATGCTTCACTAAAAGGATTAGCAAGAGTTATGATGTAGCACATGAAAGTTACATTATATGCTTCTAAGCAGTTAAAATTACATAAGAAAAATTATATAGTTTATGATTTAAAGCTTACTATTTATAATGAAAAAAATGTATACTTCAACAATAATCATTTTTAAGTAAACAGTATCTAAATCTATATGTTTGATAAGAAAGAAGCAAAAAATTTATAATTAGAGGAGCGCAACAACGCCACATGCTAAATATAGTTATAGTAGATCTATAAATGCTAAAAAAGGCATATGTATGACCCCCAAATTGGGCATAAACATTAGGATCTAGTCCTAGTCGATCTAGTCGTCCTACTCGATGGTCTTTATTGCCACCAACGATGCTGGGGAACAGCCTTGTAATAATTGTTTTAAATATTTTCTTTATAAAAAATAAGTAAAATTGTAGAAATTAAAAAAGGGATCTAAAAATTCAAATTAAATCCCATAATATTATTTAAAAATTTTTAAACTTTTCTTACTCCCTTCTTTAAGATCCTACAAAATGTTTAAGTGAGGCGTAGGAGGGATAAAGTATTTCTGTTTTCTTGATTTTTCCTTAAAGAGCCTTGACCAAATAAGAGGCATAAGTGGGAGTGGAAGCAAATGATCTGAATCCTAGTGATGACAATCCGATCCTCCAACTAAAATAAAGTTGATCATCATTGTTTGAACATATGAAATATGATAAAAAATGTAAGATGTTCATATATAATCCCTATAAAAAAGACTTTAGTCATTGTTTAAAAAAAGGGGTTAAGGAAAGGTGTTTGATGTTTATAATCAATTCAATGAGGCACTAGTCATACTCAACAAGACTTGGATTTCAACCATAAGCACTTAAAAAATGTAGATTATTTGGCACCTTAATTAAACTCAAGAAATTTCCAACTATAGCAGCAAGTGCATGATTTTGGTCAATTTGGATTGAAAACAATACATTTTTGTTATTGTTGGGTTTGTGTCATCTAGGTAGTTTGTAAGTATGCTAAAAATAGATTTTAGATGGTCTTAAAATTGATTATGAAAGTTCCTCATTCAAACATTTGAGTGTTTGGAGACTCATTATTGTATTAAAATTTATGTTTGAACCAATAAATGTTTTTGTGATATATAAGCATCAAACATACTTAATGTCACACTTCTAATTAAAAAAAAAAGATTCGCACCATTTCTTATAAGAAAATAAAATTAACAAAAGCTTTTAATACCATGTAACAACTTATTAATTACACATATTTTATAAAAGAAGCTATAGTTTGATGCAAACTAGATTTCCCCACATAGACATGCTTATTGATTCATTATAGATACTAAGTAACCATGGAAAGACTATTCATGATAAGTTGCAACTAAACATAAATCATTTTTTCTAGTTAATGTTAAACCAAAAGCCTCCTCCACATCCAATTCCCGAGGACTCCTACCTCCTGGAAGTTCCCAATTGAAGTAGAAGAGTAGTTGCGCAAGCCAAAGTTCCATGCTTGCCAATGCAAAGGACATCCCCGGACAAATCCTCCTTCCACCACCAAAAGGGATAAATTCAAAGTTTGATACTCCAAAATCAATTGCTTTATCTTCAAATCTCTCTGGTCGAAAGATCTCAGGATCTTCCCAATATTTTGGATCTCTCATCATAGCCCATTCGTTAATCACAACCCGACTTTCTACTGGTATTGTATAGCCAGCTAATTCAACTGTCTCACGACATAATCTAGACACCAGAGGGGCAATAGGATGTAATCTAAGAGTTTCTTTGATAACTTGATTTAGGAATGGTAGCTTGTTTATATCTCCCTCTTCTAATATTCTCTTTCCATTTAGGACTTTCCTTACCTCTAATTGAGCTTTTTGCATAACCTTAGGATGTCGAATGAGCTCTGTCATGGCCCACACAATTGCAGCAGCTGTGGTATCAGATCCTGCAATAAATATATCCTAGGAAAAGAAAATGAAAATAAATAGTTAGTTAAATAGACAACTCAATTTTAAGCTATGTTCACACCTTATAAAAATTGAGATAAAAATATTATATTTGTAGGCGTTTGTTTTTTTTTGTAGTTAGATATTTACTCAATTTTTTTTTGAAGTAATTAATATTAGTTGTGATTATAATCAAATAATGCTGAATAATTGATCACATTTGAATCATCACAATGCCATTTTTTTTAGAAATAGAAGATGACGCAAATTGGAAGAGTTTAAGAAATTAAAGAACAAAAAAAAAAAACAAGGATTTTAATTTTTTATTTAACTTTATATTTAAATTCTCAATTTAATTATTTTTAATTACATTTTATTTGTTGGCTTAATATTGAATTCTAAATGATTAAAATAAATAATATATCCTTTTGAAAATCATTTTTAATTTATGGGTGTATTAAACATTTCTTTTCTCAAATTTAGAAATTTAAGTTTAATTTGGGACAAATTTTTTATTGCCTTTTTAAAACAGTTTTCTAATACAAAATTTTCTAGTTCAAAAAATTTTTGTGCTAGCAAATTTCTATAGAAAGTTATAAGAAAGCTGTCTCAAACCAAAGCCTTTAAAAGCTTAATTTAGAACTTTGATATAAATTACATCTTAATATTCTTGAAATATATTGGATTTGCTTTGAGATTAATACCTATATATAGAAAGAATATATATTGCATTAATCCTAAAATAAATCAAATAACTTTTCGGCATATATTAATATATAATTTATGTCATAATATTCCAAGACATTATTTTTCATTGAAGCACTTACTAATATGACAGCTTTAACATTTTCGATCGTCAGAGATAAATCCATCTCTTCATTTCTCTTAATTCTCAAAAGAACATCAACCAAATCTTCATTAATATCATCTCCATCCATCTTCTTCCCCTCGTGCTCCTCAATTATCTCATTCAAAACACCATCTATTTCCTTGTGAACTTGCTCCATCCCATGCCTCAATCCACTTATCTCACCAAGAAAACTCCACGAAGGAAACAAATCAATCACATTGAATCCTGAGAGATACTCAAACGTCTTCTTCAACGCCAATAAAAACTTCTTTTTTTGTGCACTTCCTTTCCCAAAGGCAGCCCTCGCAACTGTCACATTTGAAAGTGATAAAAGCATCTCAGACAAATTCACCGGTGATCCCTTCGCCATCATAATCTTCTCCACAAGATTATTTCCTTCTTCCTCTCTTATAAACTTAAAAGACATAACTCGCTTTAAGCTAAACAGTTCAAGAGCACAAATTTTACGTAGTTTTGACCATGTTTTGCCATAAGGTGCAAAGCCAAAGCCAGCGTAGTTGTATTCGATTATCTTGACTGCCATTAACTTAGGCCTTGAAGCAAATTTGAGGTCATGGGTTTTGAAAATATCTCGAACGAATTCGCTAGATGTGATGACTATGAGATTGATCTCACCGAGCTTGAGGTGGAAGAGAGGGCCGTAGGTTTTGGCAAGGTTTTGAAGCCTACGGTGTGGGTGCTCGCCTAATAGTTGGTGCAAGTTTCCAATGATGGGGACCTTCCATGGACCTGGAGGGAAGTTACTAGAGGTTTTGTGAAGGGTGAGCTTTTTTATGAGGAGAATTAGGAGGAGAGTGCAGAGGATGGAAGGAAGAAGGATGGAGAGAAGTGCTGATTCCATGGCACAAACGTTATTGGATGCATTGATCAGTCATAAGGTGGTCATTTTATAATTGTTTTTTTACTTATTTTGGCAAGAAAAAAAAAAAAATATATATATATAATATTTAGTTTTTTTTTAATTTTTGTAAACAATCTAATCTTGTTTGATTAAATTAATGCAAAAATTCATACATAAGACAAAACTACATTGAAATTGTGCAGCCGGCCATAGAAAAATCAATGTATACAGAGAATAATTCTAAGTAAAAGACAAAAGTTAATTCAACCCAAGATATTGATCCTCCATAAAATCTTTACCATGTCTAATAAAAAACTTAATCAATATCGTTATGTCATAAAATGAATATGATGATAAATTTAAGTGAATTCTATCAATATTTAATTTATTTTAATTTAAGTGTTATATCTTTATTATATATGAATATGTTTTTTTTAAAGAAAATGTATGCTATTTAAGAAGTCATTTGGGAGATTATTTTATTTTATTTTTATTCTTGTGACGCCAATTTGAATTTTGCGCGCTCAAATTGCCGTTTGGACTTAACTAACCTACCAAACCTAACAAACTAGTTTATTGGGATGTCGTGCGACCTTTGATAGAAAAAAAATTATGTTATTGAATCCTCAGCAAAAAAATAATCATGATGGGCTATAAGTAGGGGTAGGGGTCAATATTTGACATGACTCGAAAATCCGACTCAAATCTGATCTAAAAATTTTGAATTTGGACTCAATAAATCTTCCTAACCTAACAAACTAGTTTATTGGAATGGATAGAAAAAAAAATAATTTATTGAATCCTCACAAAAAATGAGTTAAATATATAAATTATTTATATATCGCATTCCAATGATACATCAACAAAAATGACTTTAATCAGGAATAAATCTTGAGGCATATTTGAATTAGAAACTTTCAAAATTAGATTTGGGACCATCTGAACTCCAATTTAGGAAACTTATAGTCAAACTATGTCTCGACTAGACGAACCCAACGACAACAAAATTAGTCCACTCTGAGCCTAATTGGGCCCATATCAAAGATTTAAAGCATAGCTGAAAAATTCATAGCACTAATTGAAAGACCAAATGATTTCTAAATATGACCTTCTTATAGTCGAATCAAGCAGCTCGATGTGGCGAATCCCACGAAACCTAAGATCTTATGATTCCAACATCATGTAGGTGTATAAATGCTGAAGAAATGATATATGATTGAGGGAATAAATATGATCGTTCGATGGAGTGCTCATGAATTTCTTTATATTTACAGGACATGTTACTCTCAAAAAAATATACATAGCCCCACACCTTCACATAAAGGAAGAGAGGGCTTAAACCATAGCTTATAGATCCAAGAGAGCTCTAAAGCTTGAAGAATCCTGAAGGTTCACCTGAGCACCATCATTGACAAACCCTTGCCTCCCAGCCACTACCGATGAACCTCTGTTGGACCATCACTACCAATTCTCTACTCCCCCACTAGTATTAGACCTCTATTTAACCACCACCATTGAATATTTTATATGTTAACCATTTTTGCCAGGACATGACCTGACTGTCAGCACCGAACATCAATTACCTGACTACTACCCCCTCGATCATTATCGCCTAACTACTTCCCCTTTGACCACCATCACCCAACTACCATCCCTTCGATCTTTAGGTCCCTCCAACCTTTGTAGCCTGATAATGATCTTTTTGATCATCGTCGTCCGGCTATGATCCCTCAAAGCACCATCATCCAACTACAGCCCCTCTGAATATCGTTCCGCAAATATGATCCCTTAGACCTCAGTTGTCTGACTATGATTTTAATAACAAAAAATTTATTGTAATGAATTAATAAAAAAAATATGAAATGTTGAACTGTAACATTGTGGCGCTATGCTAGATAGTGTAGCTGTGCTCTATTTTATGTTTTGTGCACCTTTACCTCCTTCCAACATTTTATCTTCTACTTTTTTAAATGTTTGCAGAGTACATCTTATAATGTGAATAAAGAAACTATTATAGAGATAACAACTAGAAAAACAAATCTAGATACTAATCATAAAGAAAGGAGGGAGGATACACTAATGAAGGGAATATGCAATTAAGATAAAGCATGACACTAACAATGACCACTAAAAAAAGTAAGAAATAAATTTTATATTCTTCCAACATATTCTTTATTTATATAAGAAGAGGGGAGATAAAAAGAGGAAAGAGAAGTTGTTTTAGGGATTTTCATATGTTGCTTCTATTACAAAAATTATTTTGATCATAGAAACTACCTATGGTCGACATTTATTTTTATTGATTTTCAATTTCTATGATTTTATCTCTCCTTAATCTGCTAAAAATATATTATTTCCTAATTTAGCAAGTTTTTACCATATAACTTATTATATGTTATAGATATAATTAAATTGAACATTTTGATTTGATCATACTAAATTTTTAGTAGTTGAATTTGTAGATATTAATTTCTATAAAAAGTGAATAGTGATTTGGCATCCATAAAATGATAAAAAGCAGCTTTTATTAATTTCTATGTCTTATGATTTAAATAGGGTTTTAACAAGACAGGGGAGCTCAATTATTGAAATTTGGCACGGAAAGGCGATCTGATATGAAACATTGAAGAACGAATTGATAGAGATTGATATAGAAATGTAACACTATACGAATAAGATATACAATATATAAGTATATTATATGCAAGATACTTGAGACAAGACCTGCAACACATGATATATTTTATGATTGATTTGTGATGAGATTGATTGATTGACCGATGAGATTGATTCAATGATGATCAAATTAATTGACAAATTAAATGATATAAGAAATATGGCCGATCTACAGTAATAATGATATGGCATTGATACAAATACATAATGTATGACTAAAGACACATGATATATGATACATACAATAAAATAGATTCACTTTATATAGAAATTATAAGAATTTACATGATACGTTATTATCTCTATGGATATGATTTCTTAGATGTTGTTTCTATTTCATGCATTGATTTCATTTGTAGATTTTGATGACTTGTTGGGCTTTTGTACTCATTATGTAATTTCTCTTATGTTTTCAGGTAAGGGTAAGAAACAAATTATATGAGATTAATCTTGGTGACAAGTTTAGGTTTTCAGTCTATTTTTGTTAGTCATTCATATTATATTCATATGTATTTTATTGATTGGTTTTTTTATTTTGTTAAATATCATGGCTATTGTATATATTATTTTTGCATTTGGATCTATGTGTAGATGTTGGATTAATAATAACATATTTATGTTTTCTTATTTAAGGGTGAAGATGAGAGATGGTAGATTGGATAAAAGAAGGAGAAATTCTTAGGATGATGAATGTAGTGATTACTTGAGCATAGTTTCTTATTATCTTTAGATGCTAGTTTGTGCCCCCATGAAAATAAATATTTGTTCAATTATGTCGCAATTTACACTCATTACAAAAAAAAAAAATACTACATTATTATTAAGACATTTTAAATTAAATATGGTAAAAAAATCTATTACATTAAATTTATTTGGTGCTAATTAAATATAATCATGAGTGCTTCTTCCCCCCTCTCTCTTTAACGACTGATTAAAATATCAGGGCATTCACAAGCTAGGTAAAGTTGTTGCAATTTCTTCCTTCATATCCAACATATAGGAGTCTTCATGACTTCATCGTCCTGATTGAACTATGTTTCTTCCTCAATTGGATGGCTAGCTAGGTCTACTGCTTTTATGGAAAGATTTTATTGGCTTCATTGGCTTTCCATATCTAATTATAGAATTAATTAGGAGATATAATTATGCCTTTAATTGGGGGATCTAATTATGGTATTGGTTAGAGCATTGATTATGTTTTCCTTATTATTATTTATTTTAAATCTATATAATGAGACGTAAGGGCTGCTATAATTAGAGTATGAGTGTAATTTTAACCATGTTTCTCCATAATAATGAAATCATTCTCTCTCTGTGGCATAGGAAATTCTTTGTTGAATCACATAAATCAAATCACATTCATTAACTTTATTTGTATGATTTTTTTTCTATTTTTCATTTGCACAACAATTGGTATCAGAGATGGATTTCGATGCTATTTCCGATGAAAATTTTTAAATCTCCATTTATTCCTAATAAATGAGCTGTACAAAAGGAAGCAGATGTGCTCAGTTGGGTTGAGCAGAGTAGAGATATAGGTTGTAGCACGGAGGCATGCGGGTGCACATGCAAGGGTATGCAGCACTCAATCAGAGCATGTACGTAGCATACGTGAGAGCTGAGGAAAGTAGTACATTATAGGAGCATGTGCACGATATGGTAAAAGTAGCATACATACAGAGCATACATTATGGATACCTAAAAGGAAACTGCTCATGGGTGTTAGAATATAGAGAGTATGATCGCATTATCCTATCGGACAAAAATGATCATAGACATTTACACTTTGTGTAACAAGTTCATTGGAAGAGGAGATAAAAGCATACATATGATTATACATAAAAAGTAGTAGCTTTTTCCTACACATTTTGATGGATAATAAAATATATAATTTGATAGTCACAAGATTTTTCTCATTCAATACATCAGCACGAGTGTGGGTTTTATGATGTGGGCGTCTATTTCCCATCGGTGCAAGCCCCCGTGGTTAATTATATCATAAGCCTTGGCCTAAGAATACTCTAAATTAAGAATGTTATTTTATTCTCTTCTTGGTTTGGTGTATAGTGGGATTTATAGGTTCTTTTAATATAAGGGAGATAGGCTCAATGGGCTATTCAACAAACTCATAGATCATGCAATCACCTAGTCGGTATGAAGGAAAAATAGGAGAGGAGATATCATACATGAAGCATGCAAATAAGGAAAGAAGGGACATCATCAATGTGACATAGATTTGTATAATTTGTTGTCTCCCAAGAATGAATAGCTTATCCAATGATAAGTTATGAAATGATAAACTCATATCATCATCCTTTGATCCTAGATCTACAAAGGATATACTGTACTCTTAGT